TATTTCCACTAACAACAACTTACGAAGACCGTTGTATTACATTTTGAGTTTTTGACCGAACGAACAATTTTTTATCGACAATTATTCAAAAAAAATTAATAAAACTTGAAATTTTCTTATGCCCACGAATTAAGATGTATAAATACCTAAAATAAATTATAGATGTATATTTTAGATCAACTGAACTACTTGAATCAAATTCACAAGCAATTATTAAATTGTTAAATATTCCAACTAGTACAGTTTTAACAAAAACTAAAATAACAAATATGTTAAAAAAAGCTAAGAAAAATAAATTAAGAAATAACATAAGAATCAGAATTCAAAAGATTTTTACAAAATGTATCATTTTAATGTAGGAATTTTTAACCATTTTTATTAATTATATTTTACTTTATACCTACTTATTTATTTTTTATTTTAGATTCTGAGCGGAGCGATGAATGTATTGGTTTTACAATGATGTATGTTTTTTAGATTCTGAGCGGAGCGATGAATGTATTGGTTTTACAATGATGTATGTTTTTATATTTTTATATTTTTATTTATATTTTTGTGTCTGTCATCACGTTTTGGGACAGTAAAAGTGCTTCGATTTTCTTCAATAGTACCTTTTCTGATAGGAAAGTGAATCTAGTTGGTACTTTGGGGGATCAAAAGTAAACATTTTCCAGTAGTTTTCACAAGCGCCGGGAAAAACAACATAAAAATTAAGGAAAAACGGGAATTTTTACGCAAAATCGATTTTCCAAAAAATCGAATTTGGTTATTGGTGTAACTTTAAAACAAATGACCGTAGATACATGAAATTTTCACTGGTTGTTTATATTTGCATTTTCTATACACGATAACATTTTCAAAATATTTTGATTTATTTTGAACTGTTTAGGGACATTTTCATTTTTCATTTTTTTTTAGTTTTTTTTCTAGAAATATCAATAAAATTTTATTTGTTGGTTGCGAAAGCTTGAAAATTTAATAGAAGGCTCCTAATACGTTGTTTCAAAGGCAGATGAAAAATATTAAAAATCCTTAGTCACAATTTTTTTTTATAAGCATTTAAAGTTCAAAAATTGACAAAATATGGAAAAATCACGAAAATTAGCAAATTATTTTGAGTTAAGAATTCGTAAAAATGTTTCTTTTTAAATCTAAGATTTGAAAATGAAACACAAGATTCCTTATAAGATTATCTACCTTTATCAATAAAAAAATCTCTACCGGACAGTCAAATTAAATTTTTATGAGCGTTTGAAATTCAAATTTTTACAACATTGGATTTTCACTCGATTTCTCATGTAGCGATTTCCTTATTTTGTTGTAATTCAAAAACGAATAACTGTAGATACATGAAAATTTCACTGAATGTTTAAATTAGCATTTTCTATACACCATACAATTTTGAAAATATTTTGACTCTTTTTGAGCTGTTTAGGGACATTTTCAGTTTTCAATTTTTTTAGTTTTTTTTTTTATAATTGTCAATAAAATTTTATTTGGTTTGCCAAAAAGTCTGAAAATTTAATACAAGCTTTCTTATATATTGTTACAATATCAGTTGAAAAATTTTCAAAATACATAAGCACGATTTTTTTTATAAGCATTTAAAGTTGGAATTTTGGCAAAATTTATCAAAATCTCGAAAATAATCAATCGTTGGAATTAAAAAATTATAAAATGTTCAGTTTTTATAACTAAGAGTTGAAAATTTAAAACAAAGATTCTCTTAAATAATTCATACTGTAACCAAAAAATCTAAAAAATATATAAACACATTTATTTTTTACAGACATTTTAATTTCAAATTTGGACGAAATTACATATTAAAAAACCTAGAATAACTATTTTAGTTATTTTGTTGTGATTGAATAATATTATTCGTGGGTACTTGAAACTTCTAAAGTGTATTATAATTATATATCTATGATAGTATCACGGTTTTTGTTGATGTATAACGCGTTATAAGTACCTAATGGATATTGTGATATGATTAATTTGGAATTTATTATAGGTACCTATTTTTTGTTTAATACCATAGATATGTATATAATATGTCTTATACCTAGACTGACATACCGTCACCGCTCAGAATCGTTTTTCTTATACAATGATATTAGATCATTGAATTCAAATTTAATACCATCCATTAAACAGTGACCCACTTGTAACCTACTGTACAGCAGAGCGACACCCACTTGCCCACCTTTTTTTATATTTTTATTTATATTTTTGTGTCTGTCATCACGTTTTAGGACAGTAAAAGTGCTTGGATTTTCTTCATCAGTAGCTTTTCTGGTAGGAAAGTGAATCTAGTTGGTACTTTGGGGGGTCAAAAGTATAAATTTCTCAGTAGTTTTCACAAGCGCCGGGAAAAACAACATAAAAATTAAGGAAAAACGGGAATTTTTACGCAAAATTGGTTTTCCAAAAAATCGATTTTGGTTATTGGTGTAACTCTAAAACAATTGAACGTATATACATGAAATTTTCACTGGTTGTTTATATTTGCATTTTCTATACACGATAACATTTTCAAAATATTTTGATTTATTTTGAACTGTTTAGGGACATTTTCATTTTCCATTTTTTTTTAGTTTTTTTTCTAAAAATATCAATAAAATTTTATTTATTGGTTGCGAAAGCTTGAAAATTTAATAGAAGGCTCCTAATATGTTGTTTCAAAGGCAGATGAAAAATATTAAAAATCCTTAGTCACAATTTTTTTTTTATAAGCATTTAAAGTTCAAAAATTGACAAAATATGGAAAAATCACGAAAATTAGCAAATTATTTTGAGTTAAGAATTCGTAAAAATGTTTCTTTTTAAATCTAAGATTTGAAAATGAAACACAAGATTCCTTATAAGATTATCTACCTTTATCAATAAAAAAATCTCTACCGGGCAGTCAAATTAAATTTTTATGAGCGTTTGAAATTCAAATTTTTACAACATTGGATTTTCACTCGATTACTCATGTAGCGATTTCCTTATTTTGTTGCAATTCAAAAACGAACAACTGTAGATACATGCAAATTTCACTGAATGTTTAAATTAGCATTTTCTATACACCATACAATTTTGAAAATATTTTGACTCTTTTTGAGCTGTTTATGGACATTTACAGCTTTCAATTTTTTTAGTTTTTTTTTCTATAAATATCAATAAAGTTTTATCTGTTGGGCCAAAAAGTGTAAAAATTTAATACAAGGCTCCTGATATATTGTTACAATAGCAGTTGAAAAATATTAAAAATACATAGGCACGATTTTTTTTTATAAGCATTTAAAGTTGGAATTTTGACAAAATTTATCAAAATCTCGAAAATTATCAATCGTTGGAATTAAAAAATTATAAAATGTTCAGTTTTTATAACTAAGAGTTGAAAATTTAAAACAAAGATTCTCTTAAATAATTCATACTGTAACCAAAAAATCTAAAAAATATATAAACACATTTATTTTTTACAGACATTTTAATTTCAAATTTAGACAAAATTTCATATTTAAACCGGAAGTACGATTTTAGTTATTTTGTTGTGATTGAATAATATTATTCGTGGGTACTTGAAACTTCTAAAGTGTACTATTATATATCTATGATAGTATCACGGTTTTTGTTGATGTATAACGCGTTATAAGTATCTAATGGATATTGTGATATGATTAGTTTGGAATTTATTATAGGTAGGTACCTATTATAGGTCAATTTTTTGTTTAATACCATAGATATGTATATAATATGTCTTATACATAGACTGATATACCGTCACCGCTCAGAATCGTTTTTCTTATACAATGATATTATATCATTGAATTCAAATTTAATACCATCCATTATACAGTGACCCACTTGTAACCTACTGTACAGCAGAGCGACACCCACTTGCCCACCTTTTTTATTGTTTCAAGTAAGTACTTCAGTTGATCAAACATATACATTTAGAATCTATTATATTTATGAAAATAAAAACTATTTTATATTTTATTTTATTAAATTCAATATTATGACTCAATAACTAACTTAAAAAAAAGGGGGAAATGTCCTTTTCAAAAATATATCTGGGGGAAAATGTCCTACTAGACAGAAAACTGTCGGAGGGGAAATGTCCTTTTACCATCCAAGGCATCACTTGCCTTCCTTTTTAAAAGTTACTTTAGTGCTTTTTTCAATAATCTTATCAATATTTTTATCCGACTTGTATTAAATCCATAGTTGTAGATCACGATTTAAGATAAGTATAGATACTATCTTAAATCGTGTTGTAGATATACAACAATACAACATACAATCACAGATATACAGATAATAAAGTCCACAACTATTTTCTATGAAAAAAATGCAAACAAATAACGAGTACTGAAAATAATATTTTTATTGTATAAATAATATATTATTATATAATATGTTTAAGAACAACGGACTGGTTTTAATAAATAATTCCTTTATTGTTTAAAAGATTAAATCATAAATTTAAAGAATTATATACTACAGTAATATTTTATTCAAAAAATGTATTTTTGGAATATACAATCATAATATATCGTGTCAAAAATGAATATCAATGACGAAAAAAAATTACATTTCAAATATTTTAAACAAGAATTCAAATTTTGGTGGGATTTCGGCATGCTTTTGACCTACTCAAAATGGCGGATAATAACTTTACATCATATCACTAGTAAGCAATTGTCATTTATCAGCAGCTGAATTGTTGCATACAATAATCTTCAGATTCAACAATATTTTAAGTTTGTGGTCACTACTGAATATTTTTTTCATCCATGACATTCGGAAATTTTAACCTTAAAAAATTCCGGGTGTTGAATACATTTCCCAGTTATTATATACAGTTCAATATTGTTTAAAAACCGCAACCGAACATGTGCGTGTATCATGTCTGATGTCTGTCTGTCATGCGGACTAGTGTAGTGCTTTTTTATTTTAACTGAAACGATTATTTTGTATTTTTATATAGTTGATGGTCCAAGACAACATCCAAGATGTTGGTTTTATTCGAAACCTCTGCAGGATACGCAATATTTAAGGTATTTTGGTGGTTTTACAAGCAATATAATAATATATCGTCACCACGTTTATGTTCATCCACAAATGTCAATAATAATACTTGTTACTCTTCGTGTTTCAGTTACTGGATGAAAACAAACTGAAAAATGTCAGCGATTTGTACAGCCACTTCGAGTCGCCAGAATCGACGAGTAAAATGTAACTATTCATCCCTACTCATTTTTTGTTTTCATATAAATGTCACAAGGACAATAAATAGTTCAGTGTTTATATTAATCTAAGAATAAATTCAGTTAATCAAATTAATTTTAAACAAAATTTAAAATCAATAGTAGTAATTGTCATTGAGAATCGTCATTAAGGGTTAAGAAGGTAGTTTAAGCAGCTGTATGGTGATTGATTTATCAGTTTTCTAATTAATATTAATCTATGGACCTATCTGTAAATTGTGGTTATTGTTCAACTATTCACTCAATCTACCAGTTTCGTTTCCCAATTTAACCTGTCGGTGAGTTTGATGATGTGTTAGGACTTTGCATGGTTATGTTCTAGTTCCTAAAAACTGAACAATCTACAGAATTATGTTTTGTACTTTACCGATGTAATAACTTTGTACATCAAGTATTGAATGACTATTAAAAACACTTAAAAAATATTGGATCTGAAAGAGTATGTAATAGTAATTTCGTTAGTCTGTACACAACACATCCTTGGATATTTAATAGATAATTAAATATAATATTTTTATAACATAACTTTTATATTGAATTTTTTATCAATAAAATATACGCTGTGGCTATATCCCCGACAACCATGATAACAAATGCGCATGCGCGGAAAATACACATAATAACAATATAACAATGATAATGCGATGATTAGCGGCTTTTACAATTTACAGTTTTATTTTTGATTACATTTGTTTTTATTGCTTTACATTATTTTAATAATATTAATTCATAATTAAAATAATAAGAAATATATATAATTAGAAATATGGTATTTGTGAATTATGTGAATTATTGTAAATATTATTGAATGTGGATATTATGCATTATAAGAAAATTGCAATGGTAATTAGGAAAATTGATTTTAAATAAAAGGTCCTTTTATTTTTTTCATGTTATTTATTCAAAATTATTGCGCCCATGCTTAAGGGTCCCGGTGCCAGTTTTTCAAATTTTTAATTTGAAAATTAAATTTCATATTTTAGTTGCCTATATAACTTTTATTAAGTCTTAGAAAGACTTCCTACCGCCCGCATCGATCTCTGAATGCTTTTATCTGAGATCCATGTGGGCTGTAGAATTTTTCTCTCTAGCAATTAAAAAAAACATTATGAAATTTGGTTGATTCTTCAAGGTGGTACATTATTCCTGAAGAGTGCATTTTTGAGGACAAAATGGCATTTTTATTGAAGACATACACAAACGTCTGTGATATAAACTTTTTTATTTTTAGATTTTCAATTGAATATGTAAAATTTGTGAGGACTGGTAAAACTGAATTATTATTTTTTAGATTTTAGATAGTTAGGATAAAATTATTATGATTGTTTTTGTTTAATTTTGGTACATAATACCCACATTAATATTTATTAATATTCACACAATTTACAAATAACCAAGCAAATAACCTATTTCTAAAATATATGATATGACTACCAATTGGCAATTAGTAATAATTACTAATTAATATTATAATCAATGAATAATAATTATCAGATTATCACAGGCATTATATTGTTATCATGTGTATTTTCCGCGCATGCGCATTTGTTATCATAGTTGTCGGGTCTTTAATAGAGACCCGACTGTCGGGGATATAGCCACAGCGTAAAATATATTTAAATATTAGGTATTACTTTAACTGACACTAGTTGCTCAATTTTACTATTTTTGTAGGTACATATAAAAATTTGAATTTTTTATGGAATTAAATCTTATAAAAAAATTTTTATTTACAGTATAAAGTTAAAACATTTTCAAAAATTTGACGACACCACAGAAGCATTAGCATCAGCTGCTTCCTTAATTGAAGGAAAGTTATGCAAGTCTTTAAAAAAGGTATGTTGTTTTTAGAATAAATGATAAATAATTAGTATTGCTTAGATTATATTTATTATTGGTTTTTAATACTGTTGTTTCAACTGTCAGGTTATTAAATCGCATGTCAATACTAGTGATTCATTAATGGTTGCTGACCCAAAACTGGGAGCAGCCATTAAAGAAAAATTTAATATCAGCTGCGTTTCAAGTTCTTCTGCAGCAGATTTGTTACGATGCATTCGGTCTCAGTTTGAAAACTTATTGGTTGGCCTTCCTAAGAAAGACTTGACGGCTATGTCATTAGGTCTTGCCCATAGGTAATATATAATTATATTGTTTTAATAATTTTATTTGCATTTCAGTATTAGAATGAATTTATTTTTTATAGTTTGTCACGATATAAGCTAAAATTTAGCCCAGACAAAATTGATACGATGATAGTTCAGGCAATTGGACTTTTAGATGAACTTGATAAAGAAGTAAATAATTACATAATGCGGTGTAGAGAATGGTACGGTTGGCATTTCCCAGAACTTGGAAAGATTCTTACTGACAATTTAGAATATGTTAAAACAATCAAAACACTCGGTAAGATTAAATCAGATAAAATGTACTATATTTTTGTTAGCTAGTTTTACATATTATATTCTTTTAATATATTTTTAAATTGTTTAACGTTATTAGAAAAATAAATATTCACCACATATTCTAAGAAATTACTATCCAACATTTTAAAAATATGAAAGACATGTCAACCTTTTCTAAACTATTGACAAATTATAATCTCAATGTTTCCTGGGCTTATACTCTATAAATGAGCATTCTTAGCTACATTGTTTGTCGATCAAATCACATATTGATAGGACATTCATTTTTTGGTATCATGTAAAACCTGAGTATACCAAAAATAGACTACAGCTCAACTTTTAAACCAATATGATTACTAATTGTAACCCTAGTTACCACCCCCTTGCATGACACGACTAAATCTTGCTATGAATCTTATAAAAACTCAATATTTATTATTAATTGTTCATCATTTCCTAAAAATCATGTCTTCCTCATATATTCGTCTTATACACAAATAAAGATAATTTAAAAATAAATTGATTTAATTGTTAAAAATGTTATATTTTATCTATTTTGGGAAATGTTGAATTAAAATTACAAAAAATAAGTTCCTAAAGTGTAAAGTCACTCTTCCACTAAAATTAGAAAATCTCACATATTTTAAGTAGCAAACAAATTCAGCTTAGCAACTGGAGGGCTACTGTTACCTTAATGTTAATTTTTTTCTTCTACTAATATTTTTAATACTTTTTACTTTGATTAGGTATGAGAGAAAATGCCAAATCAATAGATTTATCTTCTATACTAAATCCTGCTTTAGAGGATCAAGTTAAGACTGCTGCAGAAATATCTATGGGAACTGAGATTGCTGATGATGATATACAACATATAGTACAAATGTGTGATGAGGTAATTTTTGATGTCACCTATACATTGTAATAAATCTATTTATTTAAATCATTTTAATAAAATATAGGTATTTTTCTTTGAAATGTTCATATTTTCTTTTTACATTTTTAGAGTAATGTAATATTAATTGATTATTTATCTTTATAGATATTAGATATATCCACTTACCGAACATCTCTATCTGATTATTTAAAGTCTCGAATGATGGCTGTTGCACCCAATGTAACTGTACTTCTTGGTGATCTGGTTGGAGCTAGAATGTTGGCACAAGGAGGTAATTTTTATTTTCTAGTGTATGTAATAATTATATTTAGTTAATTTGTTATTTTATGATTTATAGGATCTTTAGTAAACGTTGCTAAAATGCCTGCATCTACAATTCAACTTTGTGGAGCTGAAAAAGCATTATTTAGAGCTTTGAAAAAAAAACATGATACACCTAAATATGGTCTTATTTATCATTCCAGTTTGGTTGGACGAGCAACTGCTAAAGTTAAAGGAAGGGTAAGTACAATTACTTAAAATATGAAAATGTAAACAATATAAGATTTTGATTAAATATTACCATAAAGTATCTAGTGTTATTTATTAACTTTAATCTCTATCATTTTTATTTTTAGATGTCTCGTATGTTGGCAGCAAAAGTTGCCCTTGCTGCACGTTTTGATGCGTTTGGTGAATCTGAAACAATTAATTTAGATTTAGGTACTAACCATTTGGCCAATTTAGAATATAAACTTCGTCTTATGGAAGAAGGTTCTATGACAAGAATAAGCGGAACTGCTAAAGCTAAAGCTAAATTTGAAAAGTACCAAGTTAAAAGGTAAATATTTTGATTTTTTTTTTAAAAATAACTCATTATATATTATTATTATATATTTAGAGAAATAGTACAGTATTCAGCTGCGGCCGATTCTACTATTCCCAGCAATAAACGCAAAGTAGAAGATGTAGACATAAAAGAAGAATATACAGAAAAATCAACAATCAAACAAGAACCGGAAGGTAAGTTTTTATTTATGGTTCTTTTTTTATTTTTCTAACAATTTGTATTTTAACAATAGGCCAACAACCTCCAAAGAAAAAGAAGAAAAAAAACAAGGAAGAAACAAATGGTGCCGATAAATCCGTTAACAATGGTGCAGATATTTCAGTAAAAAGTGAACAAGAATCGATATTGACTGAGGGTAAATAAAACAAGTTAGCAGTAAAATACTGTACCAAATACTATTGTAATTGTTAAAAAATATTATGGTCCATTTTAATTTTAAATATTTTTAAAGAACAAACACCAAAATCTAAAAAGAAGAAGAAGAGAGAACTTCAAGTAGAGCCAGTAGAAGAAGATGAGCCTATAGTTGGTATGTACAATATATTATTATATTAGAATTTACCGTTGATTTAGAGAACAATGTATTATAAAATATGTCTTATTCTTCCGGGGAGGCAAAAACATTGTAGACACTAAGATATGTGGACTGGAAATGACATGTTGGCGGGAGTCAGGATACGGCCACTAAGAGGTTCCACTGGGGAGCCAATGGTTTTATTTAGCTTCAAATGTTGTGTTTTATATATATAGCGTTGTAAACTTTGGGTCTTATTTTGACTCCCCGCACTTGCCTCTTGTAGATACATTTGTGGTCACTGATAAGCTGCTTGTTTCCAGTTTATTATAATATATTAGTCCGTGCATTGTAGTGATTCTACCTATTAATAATTATTTTACATAATCACAAGTGTCAAATTAATCATTATAATAATTACCTATAATCTAAAAAATATGAACTTTTTTGAATCGTAATTAAAATTAATGTTAAAAACAAAAAATGTTTTACGATCTACGGACATTTTTCTGCTGAATTCAAATATTTTTTCAGAATTAAAATCCGACAACGTTAACTAACTTTAATTTTGTCAAAATTGTCAAACAAATTGGTTAGTAAAATTGTTATGGTTATCGAGTTAGTGACATGTGCATGTGTGTAGGAAAGAGGATGCCCTCATTTAATTTCACTTCCACTAATAATCATTTACAATTAACACATAGATCCCGGCGGCCATGACAAGATTAGAAAATGCCTAAATGTTGCCCCTTAAATAATGTCTAGCGAGGCCCCTTAAGAGGACCTCGCACACGCATATGTTGTCTCCGTCTCACACACGTATGACATAGCAAATTTTTGTTCGCTAGTTTCAATAGGGTGCTGTCATTTTTGATTGTAGAGTGACCTATTATCAAACTTTTACGTAACAACATTATCTGTGTTCTCTCGTTGGTTTTTTACGATATTTTAATTTTTAAGTGAGTTATGAGCATTTTCAAACATTAATATTTTACACAATGATAATGTATGCCACATTCTCTTACGAACATTATCTGTATTTGTATGTTGGTTTTTATAGTTTTCTTGCTTAGCAATTGAAGTATTGTAAAAATTCAATGTACAATACCAATTAATGTTTGTTACTTGAAGTTTGATTGTTGATCAATTTATAACAATATTGAAGTTGTGATGTTTTGCTAAATCCAAATTTGATATTTTGTGGGTAATAATATGGTAAGATAGAGAAAATATATATAGGCTACAGTTACATCCTCCTAATATTGGAAATTAATTATATCTTTTCTGCAGAAAATGTAACTAAAAAGAAAAAGAAGTCTGTTGTCGCTGATACTTCAATTACTGAAGTAGTTAGTAAGTAGACATTGTACACTTAATTATTAAAATTCTTATACATAATTAATTATCATTGCATTTCTAGCGGAATCTGGGAAAAAGAAAAAGAAAAATAAGAGTCAAGTAGAAGAAGAAACTGAGACTATTGGTACGATGAATTAATTTTTTATTTAATTACTTTTTTACTGTTAAATGTTATTATTTTAAAATCTAATGAATATTATTCATTGTATGTGCACTTACTATTTCAAATACCTTTTTGGGAAGTTTATTATTTTAGTTTTAATTTTTATTTTTATTCTAGAAAATTCTCCCAAAAAGAAGAAGAAATCCATTGTTGCTGATACTTCAGTAGGCGAAGCAGTTAGTAAGTAGACCCATGAGAATTTTTCTAAATTATTTCTCATTTTTATTAATATTAAAACAAATTTACAGGTGAATCAGGAAAAAAGAAAAAGAAAAAGAAAGGTCAATAATCAATTTAATTTTTTTTTGTTAAACTATTTTATCGCCTGCAAGGAATCATGATGTACAATTTTTAAAATATTATATTGTGACAAATATATTCATAACAAAATTGATAAATGTGGGTTGTTTTTTTTTTATTGAAAACTAATGTATTTTTACACCGTTTTCATACTTTCTGAGGTGTAATTTTAAAATAATAATAATTTATTTTGTGCCCTAAGGCAAAAAGTGCTTGCAGTGAATAGTAAATACAGCCAACACAGATAATTAAAATAGGTTGAATACCGATACAAATTACATTACAGCACTAAAAACATTAAATTTACTTTAACAAGAATTGATTTCGGATGATTAATATCATGGTAAAAAAAAAAAAAACTTTAACATAATTACAATTTATAATCATTCTGTTAACGCCAAAAATGACTGCAATTTAGATTTTGAGGAGTATTATTGTTACTGCTATCAACTAATGATAATTATTTTATCATTACTACTGCAATATCTCTTAATTTTGCTAGTATACTGAATAGGTATTAGGTACTCGATATAAGGTGATCCGTTTGAGTCTGACTCCACATTATTTCAAGAAGTACTAACATTAAAAAAAATATTGTTTTTACATAGTCTAATAATGTTGTACGTAAAACAAAAAATATTTCACCATTTTAAGAGTTGATTTAACATTTTTGGAGTAGTTTGAATTTATCGAATTTCAATAGATTTGTTAATTAGTGGTTAGTATTTAAAGTTCTGATAAACAGTGATGAACCAACAATTTGTGGAGTACTCTACTGGGTCATTTTTATTACATTTTGTGGGTACGTTATCATCTATGATGATTTGCGGTAGTGATTGGCTTACCTAATATTTTTATTTATATTAGGGTAATTGCATAAACATAAATTTATATGTATATGGGTCAATGGCATGTAATAGTCCCATACTTATACATTTAAAAGATATATGATAACTGCATTTCCTATAACGCAATAGGAATACATTTTCATATAGGTAATCTGTATTTAAACTACTAAGGGCTTGTATTACAATAGTTGAACTTCGGTTAAACGATTGTAATATGGCACTAAGTGATAAGTCTGCTGGCTCTTGGCCTTTGTGAGTCCAATTTCAATAAATGAGTGTTGCCAATTTTTTTGAATTTTTACTGTTATACAATAAATAAAAAAAGTGGGAAAGTAACTGCAGTGTATCTGTTCTGAACAAGTTTTCTATTAAAGTATATACTTATCAACACTGGAGGGAGTGTGTTTGCCTTATTTTTCAACCTATTTATGTTGCTTTAAAGTGGCTTACAGTCCAGTGGTGTAGATACCCCGTCCATAGGGTAGTTTTTATCGACGTTTATTCCAACAAAAAAATTGAAAATTGAAAATATTTGTATTAAAATATTAAAATGGGAAAATATTTTTCAAATTGTATTATGTAAAGAAAATATTAAAATAAACATTTAGTGAACATTTCATGCCTCTACTATTTTTTTTCAATTTACACAAAAAACAAAATCAATTTTTTCAAAAACTGGTAGCTTATGAATTCCTATTTTCCTTAATTTTTTTATTGTTTTTCCCAACGCTTTTGAATAATTGAATTTACTGGGAATTTTCCATGAACCTCAAAAGTATCAACTAGAAGACTCATGAAACTGTCCAGGAAAGATAATAAAATAAAAAAGCAAAGCATTATTACGATTACTTATTGTATATCGTATATATACTCAAAAAAAATATTGTAAAATATAAAAATCAATACATTCATTGCTCCGCTCAAAATCTGAAATAGTAAATAATGTTCACGTAATGTATTGCACTGATATGAATATTTGTAAAGGCGCACAATGAATTGAAGTTTGAGCCATTCACAATATTTTTTGGATTAAAAACTCTAAGACAACTGTTTTATTTTATTATCTAAATCTTACACCAGTACCCAGACATAAATGGCTGAAGTTAAATCTATTACTCCCAAAATACAAGAAAATTATTGTAACTATAATAAAGAACGCAGAAAAGCCGAGGTAGTGAGTGTATTGTTGACAACTATTATAGATGCTGCTCAGTAGTGATCACAGGCCACAGCTTGCCTGCTTGCGTAGCTAGTAGCTACCACAATTAATGGTTAAACTTCATCAAAAATCAAACAGGCATCCAACATTGGCAAGCCAATTTGGTACCTAAACAGCAGATGCAGCTCCAACGAGGTTCCAAAACTTGGAGAATTTTTAAATGAGTAACAATAATTTTGTACCCGTACATTTGTTTAATTTATTACAATAGGTATTCATTCATCCAAGTTAAAACATTGGATTCATTTTTATTTTTTAACCTAATATAAACATATCACGTTTATAAAATAAATAAATAATAATAAATACTATTTTATAAAAATACCTATACATCTGAGCTCTAAATAAAGTAGTTTGTATTTTAGTCTTATCATATTTATTTTATGAAGATGTACACATTATTTACAAATTTGTTTATAACTAAACACTAAAAATTACGATTCTGCTATGTGTTGTTTACATAGATCTTCAAACGGTAAACGTGTTATGATTTTACCAGTAGCCGGTCCACTTTTGAGTTTGACATCGACACAAAAATTATCTGCATCCAATTTTATTAGTTCCGCTTCTCGTCCAACATGCATACCATTCACCACTATTACTCTACCTCCAACATTTGGTATTACAGTTTCTACATGATTTTGATCCAATTTTAATTTCACTTTTGGTTCAAATAATTTTACCATACAACCATATTTGTCCATTACTTTGATGACAACGCCTTTTTTTCCTAAATATTCCAGACCTAAAGTTTTAGTGGTCACTTTTACAACAATATTTTCTAATAACCAATAATCTTTTCTCATGTAATTTTTTTTCTTAGTCTCTTCTTGGATTATTTCTTCAAGGGCAGATATTTTTCGTTTCTCAGATTTACGACTGCTTGATTTAGATATCATAGACATACGGTCAGAGCCGGCTGTGCTCAAAACATTTTTAATTGGGGCAACAGTTGGTTTTTTAAAAGTATCCATTTTCAAATTCAAAGACAATTTTCCATCTTCTTCTCTGATAAGTTCTTTTGTATTGCTGTCATCGGTTGGTTTCTCGGTAGACTCTTTTTTTTGGCCCTCTCGAATTTGACGTTGTAAAAAATCCGTTTCACGTTCTTTATCATCTTTCTCTGCTTTTTCTTTTCTTCTCATTTTTTCTTCAAGTTCGATTGTGGCTGGATCACGGTCAATATATGTTATAAACCAACCTTCATCTGTTTCATCAACCACACATTTACCTAAAAATAAATATAGAATACAATTAAAATAAGTAAATAATAAATAATAACAAAATAACAAAATTTTAATGCAGGTAGGTGTTGAATTTTTTATGTGTGTTGTAAGCATTGGATCAATGATTCGATTATTATTATTTATTAAGTTAATGCATTGCTTTTGAAACTATCAAACATAAATGTTACCTAAACAAATAACAGGTAAAAGTGTAAAACGTATATAGGAACTAATTTAAAAGGTATTTGTAACATGTTAATTTCAATGAAATTTTTATTTAATTTATATTTTGATATTATATAGTATATATTTATAGATATTACTCATTTACTCTAAAATATTTGAAACTAAAACATGATTCATTTAAGCTTTTGAGATGATAAATTTAACTAAATATCATTAACTATTTACTGTTTAATAAATTATAATATTAATAGTTAATACATATTGCAATGTAATACATGGGTAGGTACTAATGTACTTAAATCAATAAAAACCACACACTTTCATACAAACAATAATTAATTAAAAGAATAAAAAGAAAACAATTTAAAATTAAGTCTATTTAAGATTTGTAAATACCTTTATAGTTTATACTATTACATACCGTAGTCTGTAACATAACAGATTATTAAGTACCCATTTTGTATTTATTTATGATGAAGTACCTGTTTTCCCAAGCCATTTGACAAATCCAGTAAGAGTGGTCCACTGAGTGGCGTTCATGTGCAGATGGGTTCGATCTGAAATATACTCCTGGTAAACTTTGTTCGCTTTTACTCTTTTGGTACCGAACTGCCGTTTCAATAGGAACAAAAATCCCTTGGAGAATTCATAACTGAATTCACTCAGATAACGTCCCGCATTGTCTGCAAATAATAACAGTTGCCGCTGATGTGATTCGGACATTGTGTGACATTTGAATCCATTTTCGTCCCGACATTGTTTGTTGCACATCTGACAAAACCATCTTAGTTTTTGTAATCCTTTTGACTTGATCTTGTTCGCTATGTACTTTGGGGTTCCTGGCTCTGCTCGACCTTTACCCATTGTTATTCAGTCCACAAACAAACGGTTGTAACTTGTAAGTTTCTCGTTACTCGTAATATTAAATATTATTTATTATTTAAGATTGTCAACTATCAATATTACGAAGTAAATAGTAAATACTGTTCAACGTGATAGTGCTAAAGATATGATAAATGATAATATAACAAGTGGCAGGTACCAACATCTTCCACATGGTACATATTTTAAATAACATTATTTTTTACAATAAATTAATAATAATAATATTGTATTATCCTATTAGGTATAAATCTGGTCGGATCGCCGTCGACTTGCTTGCAAGCAGAGGCGGATCTAAGAATTTTTACGCCCGGGGAAAATATTAAAATTAAGCCCAATCATTGAAGATTGAAAATACAATATCATTCCCTACAATTGTTTTATCATAACTGGAACTAAAATTACAAACATACTTATTAACTTTTAAACACATAATAATATATAGTAATTAATATATTCTGTGGACTGTGATGTAACCAAGTTTATACTAATAAACTATCACACCAAAAACACTTTGAATTTAAAAACTTAGTTAACATATTGTTGATACATTTTTAATTACTGGAAATACTGTAGTGGTTACTTAATTGTATTTATTATTAGAAATAATAATAATATTAGTTATATA